AAATGAATTCGCACCTCCCCCCGCCCACTAAAAATATTAAGTGCCACCCTCCCCCTCCCCCTGACGAGAGGAAGCAAGCTAAGCTTGTAAAAATCAAACATTCCCAAGTGATAGGAGTTCACCACAGTTTAGTGAACGTTCTGTTGTTGTGTTTATTTACACTATATTTATGTCAAAGTTGACTCGTCAAAAAAACATAACTCACTTGTAAAATGGTAAGTCCTTTTTAAAATAGCATCAATAAATGTTTACAACGTTAAACGAAGTAATGCTGGCTGCGTGGTCTAGAGGTAGAGTGCGCGCCAACTCATTTTGGTAACGAGTTCAAATCCAAAGTGGAAAGCATGTTAATTTTATATGCCACACTCTGACAAATTTATCAGGCTGGCATAAAATGGGCCACACTCTGACAAAAATGTCAGGCTGGCTTAAAATGGGCCACACTATGACAAACATGTCGTGTGTTGTCTTCTGAAGTAGATTTATTTGGAGTAGCTGCTTTAGTAGTAAGTCAAAAGGAACTTCCATTTAGGATCAAAAGTCCACCACCACAGAGAGAGAGAGAGACAGACAATGTGACCAGTAAAAACTTGTAGAAAGGAACTTGTCTACAAATAATTATTTAATTATCTGCAACTGTGTTAAACAATCCACAGTGTGATGTGTTAAGAGCAGTTAAAACCACATACATGAAAAATATTTTTTTAACAGTGACATCTGTCTCACATGAAACTGACATCTGTCTCGCATGACACTGACATCTGTCTCACATGACACTGACATCTGTCTTACATGACCACTGACATCTGTCTCACATAACACTGACATCTGTCTCACATAACACTAACATCTGTCTCGCATGACACTGACATCTGTCTCACATGACACTGACATCTGTCTCACATAACACTGACATCTGTCTCACATGACACTAACATCTGTCTCGCATGACACTGACATCTGTCTCACATGACACTGACATCTGTCTCACATAACACTGACATCTGTCTCACATAACACTGACATCTGTCTCACATAACACTGACATCTGTCTCACATGACACTGACATCTGTCTCACATAACACTGACATCTGTCTCACATGACACTGACATCTGTCTCACATGACACTGACATCTGCCTCACATGACACTGACATCTGCCTCATAAGAACACTGACATCTGTCTTACATGACACTGACATATGTCTTACATGACCACTGACATCTGTCTCACATAACACTAGCATCTGTCTCACATGACACTGACATCTGCCTCACATGACACTGACATCTGCCTCATAAGAACACTGACATCTGTCTTACATGACACTGACATCTGTCTCACATAACACTAGCATCTGTCTCACATGACACTGACATCTGCCTCACATGACACTGACATCTGCCTCATAAGAACACTGACATCTGTCTTACATGACACTGACATATGTCTTACATGACCACTGACATCTGTCTCACATAACACTGACATCTGTCTCACATAACACTGACATCTGTCTCACATGACACTAACATCTGTCTCACATAACACTGACATCTGTCTCACATGACACTGACAACTGTCTCACATAACACTGACATCTGTCTCACATAACACTAACATCTGTCTCACATAACACTGACATCTGTCTCACATGACACTAACATCTGTCTCGCATGACACTGACATCTGTCTCACATGACACTGACATCTGTCTGACATAACACTGACATCTGTCTCACATAACACTAACATCTGTCTCACATGACACTGACATCTGGCTCACATGACACTGACATCTGTCTCACATGACACTGACATCTGTCTCACATAACACTGACATCTGTCTCACATGACACTGACATATGTCTCACATAACACTAACATCTGTCTCACATGACACTGACATCTGTCTCACATAACACTGACATCTGTCTCACATGACACTGACATCTGTCTCACATGACACTGACATCTGCCTCACATGACACTGACATCTGCCTCATAAGAACACTGACATCTGTCTTACATGACACTGACATATGTCTTACATGACCACTGACATCTGTCTCACATAACACTGACATCTGTCTCACATAACACTAGCATCTGTCTCAAATGACACTGACATCTGCCTCACATGACACTGACATCTGCTTCATAAGAACACTGACATCTGTCTCACATGACACTGACATCTGTCTCACATAACACTGACATCTGTCTCACATAACACTGACATCTTTCTCACACGACACTAACATCTGTCTCACATGACACTGACATCTGTCTTACATGACCACTGACATATGTCTCATAAGAACACTGAGAGACACGTTAAAACTTAACCAAGTCAGACATGCATGTTAGTATTTTATTTTAGCAAACTTAATTTTAAACTGTAGTGCTCGGGTGCTAACTCAACATCCTGTCGATGTACCCTCACTAAATCTCCCACACATGTGCTGTCTACCCTCACTAAATCTCCCACACATGTGCTGTCTACCCTCACTAAATCTCCCACACATGTGCTGTCTACCCTCACTAAATCTCCCACACATGTGCTGTCTACACTCACTAAATCTCCCACACATGTGCTGTCTACCCTCACTAAATCTCCCACACATGTGCTGTCTACCCTCACTAAATCTCCCACACATGTGCTGTCTACCCTCACTAAATCTCCCACACATGTGCTGTCTACCCTCACTAAATCTCCCACACATGTGCTGTCTACCCTCACTAAATCTACCACACATGTGCTGTCTACCCTCACTAAATCTCCCACACATGTGCTGTCTATCCTCACTAAATCTCCCACACACCTGCTGTCTACCCTCACTAAATCTACCACACATGTGCTGTCTACCCTCACTAAATCTACCACAAACGTGCTGTCTACCCTCACTAAATCTACCACACATGTGCTGTCTACCCTCACTTAATCTCCCACACACGTGCTGTCTACCCTCACTAAATCTCCCACACACGTGCTGTCTACCCTCACTAAATCTCCCACACATGTGCTGTCTACCCTCACTAAATCTCCCACACATGTGCTGTCTACCCTCACTAAATCTCCCACAAACGTGCTGTCTATCCTCACTAAATCTCCCATACACGTGCTGTCTACCCTCACTAAATCTCCCACACACCTGCTGTCTACCCTCACTAAATCTCCCACAAACGTGCTGTCTATCCTCACTAAATCTCCCACAAACGTGCTGTCTACCCTCACTAAATCTCCCAAAAACATGCTGTCTACCCTCACTAAATCTCCCACACATGTGCTGTCTACCCTCACTAAATCTCCCACACACCTGCTGTCTATCCTCACTAAATCTCCCACACACGTGCTGTCTACCCTCACTAAATCTCCCACACACCTGCTGTCTACCCTCACTAAATCTCCCACAAACGTGCTGTCTACCCTCACTAAATCTCCCACACATGTGCTGTCTACCCTCACTAAATCTACCACAAACGTGCTGTCTACCCTCACTAAATCTCCCACACACCTGCTGTCTACCCTCACTAAATCTACCACAAACGTGCTGTCTACCCTCACTAAATCTACCACACATGTGCTGTCTACCCTCACTAAATCTACCACACATGTGCTGTCTACCCTCACTAAATCTCCCATACATGTGCTGTCTACCCTCACTAAATCTCCCACACATGTGCTGTCTATCCTCACTAAATCTCCCACACACCTGCTGTCTACCCTCACTAAATCTACCACACATGTGCTGTCTACCCTCACTAAATCTCCCACACAAGTGCTGTCTACCCTCACTAAATCTACCACACATGTGCTGTCTACCCTCACTAAATCTCCCACACACCTGCTGTCTACCCTCACTAAATCTCCCACAAACGTGCTGTCTACCCTCACTAAATCTCCCACACATGTGCTGTCTACCCTCACTAAATCTACCACAAACGTGCTGTCTACCCTCACTAAATCTCCCACACACCTGCTGTCTACCCTCACTAAATCTACCACAAACGTGCTGTCTACCCTCACTAAATCTACCACACATGTGCTGTCTACCCTCACTAAATCTACCACACATGTGCTGTCTACCCTCACTAAATCTCTTATACATGTGCTGTCTACCCTCACTAAATCTCCCACACATGTGCTTTCTATCCTCACTAAATCTCCCACACACCTGCTGTCTACCCTCACTAAATCTACCACACATGTGCTGTCTACCCTCACTAAATCTCCCACACAAGTGCTGTCTACCCTCACTAAATCTACCACACATGTGCTGTCTACCCTCACTAAATCTCCCACACATGTGCTGTATACCCTCACTAAATCTCCCACACACGTGCTGTCTATCCTCACTAAATCTCCCACACACCTGCTGTCTACCCTCACTAAATCTACCACACATGTGCTGTCTACCCTCACTAAATCTACCACAAACGTGCTGTCTACCCTCACTAAATCTCCCACACACGTGCTGTCTATCCTCACTAAATCTCCCACACACCTGCTGTCTACCCTCACTAAATCTACCACACATGTGCTGTCTACCCTCACTAAATCTACCACAAACGTGCTGTCTACCCTCACTAAATCTCCCACACATGTGCTGTCTACCCTCACTAAATCTCCCACACATGTGCTGTCTACCCTCACTAAATCTCCCACACATGTGCTGTCTACCCTCACTAAATCTACCACACATGTGCTGTCTACCCTCACTAAATCTACCACACATGTGCTGTCTACCCTCACTAAATCTACCACACACCTGCTGTCTACCCTCACTAAATCTCCCACACATGTGCTGTCTACCCTCACTAAATCTACCACACACCTGCTGTCTACCCTCACTAAATCTCCCACACATGTGCTGTCTACCCTCACTAAATCTACCACACACGTGCTGTCTACCCTCACTAATTCTACCACACATGTGTTGTCTACCCTCACTAAATCTCCCACACATGTGCTGTCTATCCTCACTAAATCTCCCACACACGTGCTGTCTACCCTCACTAAATCTCCCACACACGTGTTGATCAGTCATGAGCAAGATCCGTCTCCCCCACTGAACGGTATCTGTACCTGGGATGCTGACCAGTCTTGTACAGGTAGAGACCAATGCCGAATACAAACATCGTTACACCTATGACCCCAGCCAAAGCCGCCTCGGCCACCTGAGGAGCGTACTTGATGGGAGACCGTTCGTCCACCATAGACGCGTACGACATTAGCGCCATACAGACACCCAGGTAAAGAGCTTTAGAATCCCTGAAGTTGGTAAAGAAGTCAAAGTTCCACATGACCAAATTTATGCCGTTCTGGCAGTACCGGCCGTCCTTGGTCCACACTGAAATACACCTGTTGACGTCATTCACGTGCTTGCTGTACACGTCAGCAGACGGCTGGCCGCATGTGGCCGTGTGGTTGCCCGGAAACCACTGACAGTATGAAGCGCTGTAGGCAACAGGCACGGCTTGAACCTTTGCGACCTTGTCTAGTTTAAACCACGTTAAATTGCCTGGAGTTAAGCCAAGGTACCCCAGCTCTTCTCTGTTGACTTTTATAAATTTCAAATCACAGTAAATATCCGCTCGACAGAAACAAAAATCAAATAATCTGTTGATAAATAATTCAGCGGAGTGTCAACTTTCAAGATATTCATATATATATATATATATATATATATATATATATATATATATATATATATATATATATAAATATATATATATATATATATATATATATATATATATATATATATATATATATATAGATAGATATATATATATATATATATAGATAGATAGATAGATAGATAGATAGATAGATAGATAGATAGATAGATAGATAGATAGATAGATAGATAGATAGATAGATAGATAGATAGATAGATAGATAGATAGATAGATAGATAGATAGATAGATAGATAGATAGATAGATAGATAGATAGATAGATAGATAGATAGATAGATAGATAGATAGATAGATAGATAGATAGATAGATAGATAGATAGATAGATAGATAGATAGATAGATAGATAGATAGATAGATAGATAGATAGATAGATAGATAGATAGATAGATAGATAGATAGATAGATAGATAGATAGATAGATAGATAGATAGATAGATAGATAGATAGATAGATAGATAGATAGATAGATAGATAGATAGATAGATAGATAGATAGATAGATAGATAGATAGATAGATAGATAGATAGATAGATAGATAGATAGATAGATAGATAGATAGATAGATAGATAGATAGATAGATAGATAGATAGATAGATAGATAGATAGATAGATAGATAGATAGATAGATAGATAGATAGATAGATAGATAGATAGATAGATAGATAGATAGATAGATAGATAGATAGATAGATAGATAGATAGATAGATAGATAGATAGATAGATAGATAGATAGATAGATAGATAGATAGATAGATAGATAGATAGATAGATAGATAGATAGATAGATAGATAGATAGATAGATAGATAGATAGATAGATAGATAGATAGATAGATAGATAGATAGATAGATAGATAGATAGATAGATAGATAGATAGATAGATAGATAGATAGATAGATAGATAGATAGATAGATAGATAGATAGATAGATAGATAGATAGATAGATAGATAGATAGATAGATAGATAGATAGATAGATAGATAGATAGATAGATAGATAGATAGATAGATAGATAGATAGATAGATAGATAGATAGATAGATAGATAGATAGATAGATAGATAGATAGATAGATAGATAGATAGATAGATAGATAGATAGATAGATAGATAGATAGATAGATAGATAGATAGATAGATAGATAGATAGATAGATAGATAGATAGATAGATAGATAGATAGATAGATAGATAGATAGATAGATAGATAGATAGATAGATAGATAGATAGATAGATAGATAGATAGATAGATAGATAGATAGATAGATAGATAGATAGATAGATAGATAGATAGATAGATAGATAGATAGATAGATAGATAGATAGATAGATAGATAGATAGATAGATAGATAGATAGATAGATAGATAGATAGATAGATAGATAGATAGATAGATAGATAGATAGATAGATAGATAGATAGATAGATAGATAGATAGATAGATAGATAGATAGATAGATAGATAGATAGATAGATAGATAGATAGATAGATAGATAGATAGATAGATAGATAGATAGATAGATAGATAGATAGATAGATAGATAGATAGATAGATAGATAGATAGATAGATAGATAGATAGATAGATAGATAGATAGATAGATAGATAGATAGATAGATAGATAGATAGATAGATAGATAGATAGATAGATAGATAGATAGATAGATAGATAGATAGATAGATAGATAGATAGATAGATAGATAGATAGATAGATAGATAGATAGATAGATAGATAGATAGGTACATATGTATATATATATATATATATATATATATATATATATATATATATATATATATATATATCCGTATGTATATATATATATATATATATGTATATATATATGTATATATATATATATATATATATATATATATATATATATATATATATATATATATATATATATATATATATATATGGATATAAACAAGGACGATACCATTTTAAAAACACGTGAAAGTTCTTACGTGCCGTAGTAATCCTCAATAAAGACCAGAGATGTGTTGATTGCAGCGAATGTGAAGACTAGGATCTCTCCTTTTGCGAGAGACAACATCAGTCCTAGCAGAAGGCAGACTTGTGACGTCATCTTCTCTTACAGCTGACACTGGTGGAATCAGATCAGACCTGACTCTGATGTAGTGTCAGGGTTAGGGTAGGACAAATGTTAGTGTCATGGTTAGGGTAGGATAAATGTTAGTGTCATTGTTAGGGTAGGACAAATGTTAGTGTCATGGTTAGGTTAGGACAAATGTTAGTGTCATGGTTAGGGTAGGACAAATGTTAGTGTCATGGTTAGGGTAGGAAAAATGTTAGTGTCATGGTTAGGGTAGGACAAATGATAGTGTCATGGTTAGGACAAATGTTAGTGTCAGGGTTAGGGTAGGACAAATGTTAGTGTCATGGTTAGGGTAGGACAAATGTTAGTGTCATGGTTAGGGTAGGACAAATGTTAGTTTCATGGTTAGGACAAATGTTAGTGTCATGGTTAGGACATATGTTAGTGTCATAGTTAGGGTAGGACAAATGTTAGTGTCATGGTTAGGACAAATGTTAGTGTGATGGTTAGGGTAGGACAAATGTTAGTGTCATGGTGAGGACAAATGTTAGTGTCATGGTTAGGGTAGGACAAATGTTAGTGTCATGGTTAGGGTAGGACAAATGTTAGTGTCATGGTTAGGACAAATGTTAGTGTCATGGTTAGGGTAGGACAAATGTTAGTGTCATGGTTAGGACAAATGTTAGTGTCATGGTAAGGGTAGGACAAATGTTAGTGTCATGGTTAGGACAAATGTTAGTGTCATGGTTAGGGTAGGACAAATGTTAGTGTCATGGTTAGGACAAAAGTTAGTGTCATGGTTAGGGTAGGACAAATGTTAGTGTCATGGTTAGGGTAGGACAAATGTTAGTGTCATGGTTAGGACAAATGTTCGTGTCATGGTTAGGTTAGGACAAATTTTATTGCCATGGTTAGGGTAGGACAAATGTTAGTGTCATGGTTAAGGTGGGACAAATGTTAGTGTCATGGTTAGTGTAGGACAAATGTTAGTGTCATGGTTAGGGTAGGACAAATGTTAGTGTCATGGTTAGGGTAGGACAAATGTTAGTGTAATGATTAGGATAGGACAAATGTTAGTGTGATGGTTAGGGTAGGACAAATGTTAGTGTCATGGTGAGGACAAATGTTAGTGTCATGGTTAGGGTAGGACAAATGTTAGTGTCATGGTTAGGGTAGGACAAATGTTAGTGTCATGGTTAGGACAAATGTTAGTGTCATGGTTAGGGTAGGACAAATGTTAGTGTCATGGTTAGGGTAGGACAAACGTTAGTGTCATGGTTAGGGTAGGACAAATGTTAGTATCATGGTTAGGGTAGGACATATGTTAGCGTCATGGTTAGGGTAGTACACATGTTAGTGTCATGGTTAGGGTAGGACAAATGTTAGTGTCATGGTTAGGACAAATGTTAGTGTCATGGTTAGGGTAGGACAAACGTTACTTCAGTGTTGTAGGTAGGGTATTTTTTCCACAGAAAATTAAAAAAAAAACATCATGTAACTATGTCATATAGTTTTAAAATGTAAAATTTTTATTTTAAATTTTTAGTTGTCAGCGAATAAATTTTTGACCTACTAAATGAAGGAAAATAAAAAATAGAAAATTCGACAACAATAATGATAGAAGACATCGTCAAACTAGTAAGGGTGCATTTCTCATTTTAATTAATGAAATGTACTTTTTATCTCGATCTAGAACTATATCTAGATTTAGATTATTTTCACCTACTTAACTTAATAAAAGCTCAAATATTGAAATATATTATAATTAAAACTTATTTTGATTACCACATTAATATTCTAACACTTGTGGAACGCTCTCTACCAGTGTAGACATCCATCAAGACTAGCTGCTAAAAACTAATATAGCAATCCATCAAGACTAGCTGCTAAAAACTAGTATAGGATTCCATCAACACAAGATCTAGATATGAAGTTTAGAAATCCAACTTTCTGTTTTAACGACAAGTAAACAGGATGTAAATTCAAATTCCTGAGGATGTTTAATAAGGAATCTAAGTAACCTCGTTTAGTGTGCAGTTTTCGAAGAAATTGTTGATTAAGTGTGCATGAAAAGTGTGCACACTTACAACAACCATCTTGTCTCAAGACTGCACACCGTCGGAACTAACAAACAACTCCTCTACCCACAGTCTCCCACACACCTCCTCTAACCACAGTCCCCCACACATCCCCTCTACCCACAGTCCCACACACATCTCCTCTACCCACAGTTTCCCACACATCCCCTCTACCCACAGTCTCCCACACACCTCCTCTACCCACAGTCCCCCACACATCTACTCTACCCACAGTCTCCCACACACCTCCTCTACCCACAGTCCCCCACACATCTCCTCTACCCACAGTCTCCCACACACCTCCTCTACCCACAGTCTCCCACACACCTCCTCTACCCACAATCTCCCACACACCTCCTCTAACCACAGTCCCCCACACATCCCCTCTACCCACAGTCTCCCACACACCTCCTCTACCCACAGTCCCCCACACATCTACTCTACCCACAATCTCCCACACACCTCCTCTAACCACAGTCCCCCACACATCCCCTCTACCCACAGTCTCCCACACACCTCCTCTACCCACAGTCCCCCACACATCTACTCTACCCACAGTCTCCCACACACCTCCTCTACCCACAGTCCCCCACACATCTCCTCTACCCACAGCCCCCCACACATCTCCACTACCCACAGTCTCCCACACATCTCCTCTACTCACAGTCTCCCACACATCTCCTCTACCCACAGTCTCCCACACAATTCCTTTACTTACAGGCTGTCACACACAAACCCCACTAACTAACCCCCACACAAATCCACCACTAACAACATAATCCCTTTATGTAACGAGAACATAGAAACATAACTTTATTTTCTCTTCTTTTAGCATTAAAATGAATACACTTCTATACACACAACTACAAATACACTGTATTACTTTTTTCATATTTATTTTAAACAAGGCTTTTTGATTTAATGGATAGAAAACTCAAACCAAAGTTTTAAAATACACAAACATTTAATTCATAGGTGTGTAACTATTGTATTTAAAATGGTCTAAAATGCCAGCTTGGGTAGGCGAGGTCGAGTAGGTATAGCTCATGGTGGTTAAACAGATAAGTCTCGAGTTCAAACCCTGCGGCAGATGATGCTCGATTGCTGGGGGACAGCAACTCTGCTATAAACGACAAATCCAAAATTAAACAACTGTAATAAGCCTACTTATTATGTAAACATTGATCAATAAACGTCTGGCGATAACTTAAGACGTTAAATTGTTTTTTAAAAAATCAGTTAATAATTAAAAAAAAACTTTGAATCTGGTAATGATGAAGACTTCTGTGACGGGAGTTATATCAAACAGGCTCTTAGAAATATTCATGTCACAGTTTTACAGCTGATGTTTCAGTGAGTTAAATAAATAAGACAATTGTCCCATGTCTTATTGTCAGCTTCTTGCGATACAGGGATGTGACGTATTAGTGTTTAATCTTTGCTGAGTGTTAGAGGAACATCATACACAATGTACGGCTTAACTCTCTGGTTGGTAGAGGAACATTTATGAGAGACAACTCCAAAATTAAACAACTGCTGCCTTGTAGTTCTTGGTTGGACACAGGCAAATGGCGCGTAACAGGTTGACACGTAATCATTAATTGTGGTGGAGGAAATTACGTCCAACAATACATTTAAGAACAAGAAGAAGAAAAAAAACTACTTTAACACTCTTTAAAAAACATACAAGTACTAAGTAAAAAATATATTATAGAAACAGAAGCAATAAATCTACTAAATACAAAGAATATAAACAAGTCTTTGTTTATAGTTATAGATCTAGAAGTACTTTTTACATCACTGAGACACTTTATACGCTACAATAATGAAGCATTTGCTAAACGAACATATGTGTTTTATTTCTTTTTACTTCATTATTCCTAGTAATGTCCACTTGAGAATAGCCGTTAGAGATTGAATTATCTGGTACCCGAGGTCTGAGCATAGTGATCTCTATGGGTCTGTCTGTAGCCGCAGTGTGCTGTGTGCTGTGTATTGTGTGCAGTGTGCTGTGATGTTGACCACTTCCTGTGTCAAGTGACTGACCGCTCACACTGACCATGTTGTAAAGGTTTTGTAACACACGGGAGGGTTCCCCTAGACTGGAGTACTCACTCACGTCTGGTCCCACCTGACCTTCTGTCTGCGTCATATCCGGTGGTCCCACCTGACCTTCTGTCTGCGTCACATCCGGTGGTCCCACCTGACATTCTGTCTGTGTCACATCCGGTGTTCCCACCTGACCTTCTGTCTGCGTCATATCCGGTGGTCCCACCTGACCTTCTGTCTGTGTCACATCCGGTGTTCCCACCTGACCTTCTGTCTGCGTCATATCCGGTGGTCCCACCTGACCTTCTGTCTGTGTCACATCTGGTGGTCCCACCTGACCTGTCTGGGTCATATCCGGTGTTCTCATCTGACCTTCTGTCTGTGTGATATCTGTGATTAACTGGCCTCCATCTTAAGACGTGCTCTTAACAACACGTGCATAGCTGTAGAAATACCTTTGAGGACCCGAGGCATTAGTTTCTACATTACGTTTTTATCCAAGTTTTCTACACTTTTCTTCACGCCACTATCTTCATCTCTATTATTATCACATGCTACAATTATATTTTGATACTCTTGTAGGCTGCCAGTAAATGCTGATGGTAATTTTGTATGATCTTGTGCTTTTGGGCTACCTAAGTTAAGATCAATCTCTGTGTAAGCGCTGCCTACTGTCAGATCCACTTCCGTATAGGCGCCATCTTGTCTCACAGACTTTTCCAAAGTCCTTTGTCGTCTTTTCTTGAAGAAACACACTAATACACTAACTGATATAATTATAATTAACACTACAACGCCACCAGCAACACAGCCTGCTATAAGACCAACGTTGTTAACACCAGTTGTTGATGATGGTGTGAGTAGAGTTACTGCAGTTGGTGATGATGTTGTGAGTAGAGTTACTTCAGTTGTTGTGCTGAGCTGTCTCGTTTTACTGGTGCCACAATCACTAAAGCGGATGAAATCACTGTCTGTAGAATCAACAGTACAGTCGTGATTCCATAACACAGTTATGTAATTCGTGTAGTTTTTTTCGTTGGTGAATTGCAAGAAAGTACATCTGTTTGCATTAGTGGAAATTATGTTGTAAAGGCCAGGGAGTGGCAAATTACAACTCAGACGAGTAGAGATATTCAGATCCCATTGACAATATGAAACATGTAGGACTAAACTATCATTGCTGGTCACTGTGCCTGGGCTGATATATCGTCCGCTATAGCTGTTGTTGTCGTTGGTTGATTCGACACTCAAATCACAGAATGTGTTGCTATTCAGACAATCAACCCAGCTGGCAAAAGCATAAATAACTTTTAAAATTTAGTTATTAATACAAAAAAGAACTGCACGAATAACATCAAATCTGATAACTTATACACCTGCTGCTATCAAACATGAGAAAATGCTGATCTAGAAAGTCCAAACTAAGTCAAACAAAGTTAAATAATAAATACATAAAACGTTTAAACGTTTATAATTACAAGCTTTTATAAATGCACTAAAAAGAAGAAAATAATAAAAAATGTATTAAATATAAAATAAATTTTCAAAAATATAATAAATCTACGGTTACTTTATATATATAAACAAGTTAATTAAAAAGTCTAGTGACAATTTTAGCGCAATTTCCTTATGTTATATAAAAATAGCTCTGTCGAAGCGTAAATGAATAGCAGGGTTAGTTAAATCATTGGTTAGTTATTAAAGCGTTTTTTTTTTTTCAGTATTTTACATGTTTTATTTACAATAGAGTTACATGACTAAAAACCATTGCGCGCCTAGCTACTGAACGTGATGACGCAGCCATTGAACGTGATGGCGCAGCTATTGAACGTGATGACGCGTGTGGTGTGGTTGGAAAAAATGCCTACTAATTCGGTCCAAATTTTAATTAATTAAAAAAAAAATTTGTGACCGAACGAAAGGATATTTTTGAAAACTTTCTTCGGCAATATTGTTCTAAATTATGGCATGAATCGATTGGTACATGTTTGAAGTCGTTAAGTTGTCAGGTTGCCGAGATATGGGCCAAAAACTGAATTTTTTCGAGGTTTTTTGGCTTTTCCGGGAAATACATGAAAGAAACCCGGATTTTTTATGGCCTATGCTCATTCCCGTAACTTGCTTAACATAAATGCTTTTGGAACTAGTCATCGATATTGCTTCGTTGAGGAGGAGATACGACTTAAAGCCCGGACACACATTCATCCATACATTCATTCATCCATTCATTCATCCATCCATTCCCAGAAATGACGAGTTAATAAACGCGATTCTCCAGAATGGAAATTGCGCTAAAAATACTTTGTAACCCTCACTCAGTGGGGATGCTTTTACCCACTGAGGTGTTGTGGTTAAGACGGGCTGACCCTGAGATTAAGTACACACCGACGCCGACAGTTGTTGTCAAGTACTCGTTTATTTATAGCATCGAGCCATGACGGCGATGCAACACACAACGAACTAGCCAAGATAGACCAAAAGATCCAAACAATCCAAAAGACCAAAAGATCAAAAGATCAAAAGATCAAAAGATCAAAATAGGAACAGAAACAGAAACTGTAGCCCTTCATTAGGTCTACATCTTGGTCCACAGACAGCAGCCTTGCGTGTGCGACACGGCTAGGCACATGTCACATGACATGGAACACAAGTAATTTCGCTCACAAAAGCATAAAAAAACGTCAACAGTTCAGTTGCAGTCCCACAGGGGCCGCAACCCAATGAATAAAAACTTCATAGTTTTATCCCCCTTTTGGCTGGTAACGATATGTGTTACACAGCCCCCCTCACAAATAAATGTACAATGGAATTCACATTTACATTTACATTTACACTCATACATAATAGTACTAAAAAAAGTTCAGTACACTAG